CAACACTCGCTGACTGCAATGATATAGCTTGGAGTAGACAATTTTTAATATCACTCCGACTGGATTCGTCTGAAAGAAGAAAGTCATATACACCTGGGATGCCTCGAGGGTGAGTAAAACACACGCTAATTTTCATTTTTGGGTGAACTAATCCTTTAAGAAAACATTTCTTTGCAGTGTGGGGCCAAGCAAAAGACTTCCCAAAGCGAGAATGAGTGGGTGAGATGAGAAAAGAGAGGGTAAAATGAAAGATGAATAAAGAGGGAATGGAACGAAGGGAATCTGAAAAGCTGCAGGCACATGGACGGCTGTGATTGAGCTGAGAGAAAACAGCAAAAGATAGTGACCATCCTTGTTTAGCTTGTCAGAGAGAAGGATGGAGGGCTAAATTGCTTTCAAAAGATCAGAAGAGCATAAAGACTGGGTAGACTTCAATTAAGGCCCTTTTTTAATCTACCACACACATGCACACACACACACACACACACACACACACATACAAACACACACACATACACACATATACAGAGCACATAGAGACAACATTTTTTTTTAATTCAATGAAAGCATAGAAGCTGTCAAGCTCCAAAAATGAAAGGGTTGAAAACATTTGCTCTTTTTGTGTGAAAAAACAGTAGAGCACATAAATTATCTCGAAAGTGACAGTAAAACTTTCTATTCTTACTTATTTATATTTCAAATAAATGCTGTTCTTTTGACCTTTCCAGTCATCAAAAAATCCTGGAAAAAAAGTGTCAGTGTCCACAAAAAATTTAAGCAGCACAACGCTGTTTTCAACACTGTAAACAATAAGAAATGTTTCTTGAGCACCAAATCAGCATATTAGAATGATTTCTGAAGGATCATGTGACTGATGACTGGAGTAATGATTAAGTCTATATTTTGCTGAATTTAACTATGTTTAAAGGGGTCATATGACGTTGCTAAAAAAGAACATTATTTTGTGTATTTGGTGTAATGAAATGTTTATGTGGTTAATAGTAAAAAAAAAATCACAATGAAACACACAGCATCTCCACGACATGGCGGCGGCAGCAAAAATATTACAGCGAGAATCAAAGTTACACCTTCTTTCTTTGCGTGAACATTTGGGCGGTGTTATGCAAATCTTCCCACACAGTGACGTAGACATGTGGGGGCGTGTTTAAACGAGGCATTTTAGGAGGGCGTGGACGAGTCTTAACTTTTATAAAGAATATCTATTTGGGTTTGAGACTTTAGTCTTTGCAACTTTAGGGATCTTATCTATTCACGAACAGCTTGTAACACTCCAAAGAGAAAGGAAAACTTGAAATCGCATCATATGACCCCTTTAAGTCATGTTGGATAAAAGTGTCAACCAAATGCATAAACGTAAAAGTCAGATTTGAATCATGGACATGATTCGAAAAGATTAAATGGTCCTGAAAAAAATAGTCGCATTGGTACTCCTTGGGGTCAAAAATGAACACATTGAAAACAAATGGAAAAAAAAATAATGTAGTGGAAAATCTGACTGAATGCTATTTTATCAACCTCAAATTTGGAACACAACTTGTCTAGATTCATGGCTTTGATTTTCTCACAGTTTTAGAGTAAAACGTTTTGGAAAATAAATATTTTATATCAAAGTTTAACTTTTTTCACTTTAGCAATAATCTGCAAAATGTCCTCTTGGTAGAGACTCAAGTCTGTGCTTCAAAGCATTTGAGATTCAGTTTAAATTGGAAATTTCATTTTCAAATCTATGCTCAAAAAGTGGTTAACAGGTAATAAATGGATTATAACTACTGCATAAATATAATTCAGTATATTTATACCATAAAATACCCTAAAAATACAAATACAATATTAAATAAAAAACACAGTACATTAATTTCATTGAAGTAAAAAAATTAAAAAAAATTATTAAATTGGTCATTTTTTACCTCCACACAAGGAGCACCAGAGGGTTAAGATCCTTTCAGACGTTTTTGCTAAAGGTTTGTGTGATTTAAAGCTAAAGTAATGATGACACTCTAGTGAGACATCTTGGGGAGTTTTCTAGGTTTGTAGGTTAAGGATACAAACACACAGACACTGACTCCCAGCTAAATTTAACATTTGCATGCGACTGTCATAAACACCCAGTGGCGTTGCACTTGTTGCATTACAATCCAAAAAAATCTGGCTGAATCAAGAGTCTCTCACATGACACAGCCTTGACAATTAATTCAAATTCATATGGAGTGAGTGTCCACTAACCCTTCCAAATCACCCAGACCCCACACGATCAATACATTCACACACGCTAAAGTACAATTGCTGTGACAGCAGAAATGGGGTGGCACATACTTCGTATAATCAAGAGCAGATCTCTAAGTCTCCAGAGAGCATCACATGCACACATACACAGACTGGGATGATGAATTAAATATGGGGTGCTGAAGAAGCAGCTGACCTCTGACCTCTGGGTGAGGGACGGGGTGAGCAGGCGTGAAAGGTAATCGCAGAGACAGAGGGGAGCAATCGGCCATTCGAGCTCAAGATGCGTGCGTGAGCCTTTTTAGCAGGAGTGGCCAGCTGAGGTCTGCGAGGAATTGGGGATTTTAGGGATTTCTTTAGGAGAAAAGGAGAGGGGGGCTAATGGAAAGCAAGACATATTAGAGAAGACGCGAGTGTACTGGAGGGGGCAGCTGTGAGAATTCGCCAAATGGTGTGAATGAATCGTGAAAGCAGTCAATAGTGCGTGTGAAGGATGAGCAGGGTTAAACCTCCACATGACCCAAAAGAGAGAATGAAGTGAGGAGAAAAGAGGGTAAGTGGTAGAAAATGCAAAAGTAATGTTGAGAGACAAAACAACTTCATTCAGCAGAACAAAACAATAGCTCACAATATATAGTCAAACAGGGAAGAAAAAAACTGAACCCAGAAAACAATTGTAATATTGAATGAATGAATCAATGAATAATATAATATAATATAATATAATATAATATAATATAATATAATATAATATAATATAATATAATATAATATAATATAATATAATATAATATAATATAATATAATATAATATAATATAATATAATATAATATAATATAATATAATATAATATAATATAATATAATATAATATAATATAATATAATATAATATAATATAATATAATATAATATAATATAATATAATATATACATTATCTGAAATAAATGTGAGTGGTAGAAAAAAACTTAATAAAAATATTTCTAAATAAATGTAAAATAAAATAAAAATAAATTAAAATTAAAATTATAAAAAGTAAAAATAAATAAATAAATATATTTTTAAATAAATAAATATATATATATATATAATAACA